ATAGGCTTCAGATCTTAATAAGCTATAGATAATAGTTTTTTTAATAATAGTAAATTAAAATAATTTATCAAAAGAGTAGTAGTTTCTTAGTTGTCTAATTATATCTACAAGTTCTCTAAGTTGATTTCTTTTTATAATTAAAAACAGATGTTTTATTTCAGAGTTTAGATTAGCAATTATGTTTGGCAATATTCTTAATAATGTAAAATAAACTTCTGGTAGTTTGTTAAACTAGTATACTCTATATAATATTGCAGCAACTGCTTTAGTATGAACTCTTTGTTTTATTAATAGGTTAAAGAGAAGTATTTGAGCTATGTTTTTTAAGATTTGGCTAAGATCTAATGGTAGTTGTTCAAAATATAATGTAGTTACTTTTTGTACTATCTTATATAGTTTTTTATTGTTTTTAATTGTTTTGTCTTTAATAAATCCTTTATAGTATTTAAAATAATAATAAATTTGCTTTGTTAACATTTTGTAAAGCTTTGTGTTAATTAGATAATTAATTATAATTTTTTGTTATAACTTTTGGTAAATTATATTTCTTGTTTGTTTATTAGTTATAGTTATTTTGTTATTTGTTTTATATTTTTTTAAAGCTTCTTAGAAAAGATTTTTTGTAGACTTTTTGATACTATAAAATTGATCTTTTTTTTGTAAAGGTAAAAAAAAAGATAGCATCTATATGTCTAAATTTAGCTTTAATTGCTGAATATAGTATCTGGTTTGTAAGCTTAGTTTGTATTTTGTATTAAATAAATTATTGAATTTCTTTTTTGCTTTAAAGTGCAGTTACTATTCTGGCATAGTTCTATTGAGTTTTGTTAAAAACTTAATTTATTTTTTTTCTAGTTATTTATTAATTTTTTGTATTCATTCTTCTGTGTAATCATTCTGTTTTATTTTTTGTCTATTGCTGAGCTATACTAGGTTTTTTATGCTATTTGGCTATATATTGCTTGTATTACTAATTGTTTTGCTATTGTATTATTATGTTTTTACTACATGTTGATTTCTAATTTCATGTCATCACTGTTTGCTAATAGGGCTGTATTTTGGTTTTCGGTTAATAATGCTTTATTGTTATAATCTTGTGCATGTTTCTGTAAATTTACTATACTATTTTGATTAGATACTATGTTCATGCTAATAATTTGTTGTATAGTTATATTTGATCAATTGTTGTTACTTGTTTCAAATAAGTTGTTGTTGATTTTTTTATTTCTGACATATTGTTGTTAAAACTATTTGTTTTGTTATTGTTATCTAATAATGATATTATTTTTGATTTTATCAAAAATATATCAGTTTTGTTACATTTTAATTTTTTGTATAATAAACCAGAGTTGATATGAAGTTTTTTTGTCTTTATAACTATGTTATTTATATTTGTTTTGTTTTCTTTTAAGTTTATTTTTTTATTGTTATTACTGTTCTTGTTTCTAGTATTATAGCTTTTTATCTTAATTTGGTTTGCTATTTTGAATATAAAGTTGTATGTTAACCCAAGAACCTGTTGCTTAGTTATTTTGTTTTTAGTTGCTATTGTATTTTTTTTGCATTTTATCTTGTTCTGTATTAATGCTGCAGTTTAGTTTTGTTGCTTTATATGTTGTTCAAAAGTCTTATTATTTATTTATATTTGTTTAATTTTTTTTATTTATTTTTTTTATGATTTTATAATTTGCAAAAAAGAATTTTTTTTTTATATACTCTTTTTGTAATAGTTTCATGTAAATATATTATCTAAAAAGTGTTAATAAAATCAAAAGATCAAAAAAGTTACTTTAATATTAAAAAAAAAATATTAATTTCAGAATCTTCTAATCTTAGTTTAATAAAAATTTTCTACTTTTTTAATAATTTGCTATATATAAATATACTTTTAATTATTTTATATATAACAACTATTAGATAACTATTTTTTAATTTAAAATTAATAAAAATAAAATTACAAAATAAAATATCTTCTATATTAATAAAAATACTCAAAATACCTTTAACAAAAACTATCTAAAAAATTAAAAAAAGATCAAAATTTATTCACAAATCTTACAAATCTTATAAATATTATAGAAATTAAAAACATTATTGTTGAACTTTTAATTGAAAAAGATTTAAAAAGTCTATAGAAATTAATATTGAAATAGTATTTATACAAGTAACAGGTTTATAATGATGAAATACTTTGTTATCAGCATCTTCAAACAAAAACAAAAGACTATTGAAGAAAGTTTAGTAATTAATCTACAAAAATTTATTAGCACAAATGGTTGATCAATCACTGATATCTTTTTTCAATTATAAGTTAAGTATATAGTAAATTATACAGAGTCTAATTAATATAGATAAATAAAATATTTGAATATATATAAAGTTTTGATTAAACATATTTTATAATTATGTAAATTGCTATATATTAAGATGTTACCTCTTACTTTATTATTTTATGCTATTATAAATATATTATACTATAAAAAGAGTATAAATTAGCTTATTAAAGGATTGAAAACTTGAATTTTTATAAACATATATATTAGTTTTTGTGATTATGACATAATTGTAATATAATACATAATTTTAATAAAAAATAGATTTGTTAGTTTGATAGTCCTATAAAAATTATATTGATTTGAACAGTGAATTAATTTAAGATCAAGGTCTTTTAGAACCAAACTTAGCAAATGTAGTTGGCTAGTAAAAATAGCTGACCAATTATACTTGTTAATTTTGATCTATGTAACTACCAAAACACTATACATAGTAGAAAAAATTGATCTTAGTGATGAATAATAGTTTACTATATTTATTACAGTTTGCAAAATTATAAAATTTGAGAATCAGCTAATTTCTAATTTTTTTGACTACAAACTGATAAATATGCAATTTTTATTTTATAAAAAATAATAAAATTTATTACAAAATAATAAATAAATTTTGTCTAATTTAAAGGCCAAAAAAAATGTTAAAGAAATCAAAAATCATTAATTTGATTATTTTTTTTAATAAATTTTTTTTTTTAGTTAAAGTCCTTATCTTAGAAATGCAATATTTTTATTCAAGTATATTAGGACATAGCATGCTACTAGGGACTCACCTTACATTGGAGGTTATAACTAGTTACATATGCATTTTTAGTGTCTAATTTAAATAGTTCACTTATATATTACTATATAAGTTCTATACTAGTTGCTATAGCTGCAAACCAACTAGAGGTTTTGTCTATTTAAACTCTCTGCATATGCAATCCTCCTTGTATCATGAAAACATCTCAAGGCTACACCTATCCAAGTTCCTAATACTTGCTGTTACCCTTAGGACTAATTTATTTTCGATAGAAAACTTACTAAAATCTTTATGTTCTATATATATAAATCTAGTTTTATGCAATATGCTATAATTAGCTAATACTTATAGTCACAGAGGTTATCTGTTTAACTGCTACATTATACTATTTCTATTCTTGTAAAGTTCACTAAAACCCTAGTACCTATCTTTTTGACATCTTCTTTATCATCTCCTACTAGTCACAACTCAAAACCAACAGTTTCTTTCAGACTACTAATTCAAATAACCTAATATAATATAATTCTTTCTTCTTTTCCTCTAATGAATCTGGTAACCTGGTTGATTATATGCTCCTCTACATATATTTGATATCCAGTTTAATTTTCAGTTCCTATAAAGGTATTTTGTAGGCTTCAACCAGTCCAATAGTATTGTCAAAAGTTCATGTTATCTTTTTATTCAGAAATTTCCAAATAGGTTTTTATTATCTCAGTTTCTTAGTCTTCTATGTCTGATGATCTTATTGTGAGTTTGCACTAAAGTCTTATGCAACACTGATTATACATTTCTCTATGTATGTGTAATATTACACTTCATATAGATGCTCTGAGCTTCTAATATCAGTAGAACTCAACTTGATGTATCTGGATTACAATTGCATGAGACCAACCAATTGACAGAAGATAGTTATCATAATGCAAATATAATTTCCAAATTTTGTTGTAGGTGGGATTTAAACCTTAAACCTGCCACTTGAAGAATAACAACCCAACCACTACACTAGGATTGCCATCCTCTTTTTTAATAATTTTACAAACCATAATAATTATAAATTATTAATAAAAAATTTTTTTTATAAAGACAAAAATTAAGCTTTTGTTTTATTCTATTTGCTAATACTGTTTTGAATAAGAATATTACTAACATAATTTCAATCTAAAGTTATCTGGTCATTATGTAACCTAAGAAAATGGAAAATGCTAATAGAAACCAAGCCAATTGTTTTTAGTATGTTTTTTTAAAATTTTAAATTAAAACATTTCAACAACTATTAAACCAACCTTGGTAACTTTTTATTTATTTTAATTCTATAACTATATAGAATTAAAATAAAATAAAAATTTATCAAGTTTGGTTTAATAATTGTTGAGATATTTTACTTTAAAGTTTAAAAAAAATTTACTTAGAAACAATTTGCTTGGTTTTTACTGGCACCCCCCATATGTTTAAATCCTGAAAACCAACATAACAATAACTTTAAACTGAAATACCTAAAATCACTGTCAGATTTTAATTATAGTGCTTTGCAAAAAGATGTAACGTAATTTTTGTGATTTATAACGAAGGTAGATGTTCGATGACCCCAATGCAAAAAAGAAATCTGTGCCAGGTTTTGTCGATCATCTTCTAGATTGATCGATATCGGCCCGCATTAAGCTAATTTTAAAGTTATTATTAAATTAGGGTTAGATTAAGCCAAAAATGAATTTAGAATTAAAAGCATATACAAAATTATGAGAGGAATGCTTTTTGTTAGTGCATAAAAAGCAGTTTCATAATCGATATTTTAAGATAGAAAACTTTTTTTCCTAACTTTGTCGATCATGATCGACAAAACCTGTCACAGATTTCTCGCTTGGACCCCAATTCGAAATCTCATGTTACACCAGATCTCAAATTTTTGCGGATACCGTAGCGTCGTATGGTGTATGCCTCTTCATTCTACTCTGTGTGAGATTGCAATTTATGCAAAGTCACAGAAAAAAAATTTTTTAAAGTACATTTTAGCTGTAAAAAATTGTCATACAAGACTTTTCACGTCTGTTGGATCCTTTGAAAAGACGGTGAAAATGGATAGTGAATATAGTGTGATTACAGAAGGAAAAGCCAGCATTCTTTTCCCCCAAAATAACAAAGTATTCTACAACAATGTTCAACAATTTAATCGTGATTTATCTGTCGCAGCTATTAGAATTTGGAGTGAGATATTTTCAGAGGAAAAACAAAAAAAGGCGCAGCAAAAAAAGGATTCAGATATAAAAACTCAATGTAATAGGTACACTTTAACTCAATTTGACCTCTTTCAAATAATAAATATTGATGTGTAAAATTGCTTTCGACAATGACAAGATAGCAAGCTCCAAGGTTCGTTCAAATTCACTTTGTCTACTGGCCTTTGTGAATAATTTGTTTCAATAGTTCACTTACTGAATGCCTACATCATATAAGACAGCCATCAAAGACATATACTTTCACCATTTTAGAAGCGTTGGCGGCCAGTGGATTACGGTCAATTCGTTATGCAAAGGAAATTTCCAATATTAAATACATAGTTGCTAACGACTTAGATCTTGATGCCGTGAATTTGATTAACAGAAATGTAGAATATAATGAATTAAGCAAAGATTTTGTTAGAGCAAACCAGGGAGATGCTTGGTTGGTCTTTTTAAATGTCGTATATTTCATATTTATATTACTTAATATGCTTTAGATTGTTTTTTTTTGTTTTGTTTTAAATTTGTTAAATTTAAGTTCCGTGTTGTATCAACACCGAAACTTTCCTGATCGATTTGATGTTATTGACCTTGATCCATATGGAACAGCAGCACCATTCATAGATGGTGCTGTGCAAGCTGTGGAAGAAGGGGGTATAAAATAATGCAATTCGACTTGGGTTACATTTTTCATTTCTTTGATTTATTGATATATTGATTATAATTAATAGGCCTTCTTTGTATTACTTGTACCGATTTGGCTAACCTTACTGGTTCAAATTACCCTGAAAAATGGTAAATAGGAACCATTTAGTTGTTACCTTTCGGTGTTTAATTCATCTTGGGTTAATATTGTTGTTTTACATTAGTTATGCAAATTACGGTTCAATCCCTGTAAAAGGAGAATTCTGTCATGAAATGGTTCAGCCACTATCTTTGTTTCCATAAATTTGTAGATCAATATAGAAAATATATATATTCTAATCAATTATCTATTTAAATTTGAAGGCGCTCCGCATTCTCCTTCATACACTTTCAACATCTGCAGCCAAATATCGTCGTCATATCATTCCATTATTATGTTGCAGCATTGACTTTTATATTCGTATCTTTGTTCGAGTCGTCACATCACCTGTTGAAGTAAAAAAAAATCCATGGTAAATAATTTTTAAAAAATAGATATAAATTTTACTCTTAATTTCTTCTACAGTGATTAACTATATAATGTCGATTGATCTTTAAGCAAAACGTCAATGCTCTATGTATGCACTGGTTGCCACTCCTATCATACGCAGCCACTTGCAAAAGTAACAGGAAAAAACTCATTTGTGCCAATTACAGGGCCGATTGTAAATAGTAGCTGTGAACATTGTGAAAATAAGTTTCATGTATGATTGTGTAATGACATAATGTTTATGGATAATTATTGTGCAAAAATGTTATCGTTAATCCATTTCGTTCTATCAAATTAGGTAGGTGGCCCAATATGGTCGCATTCTATTCATGATAAAAAATTTGTTCATAGAATGCTAGAACATATCAAAGAGTCAAGCAAAGAAACATATCAAACACATTCAAGAATGTTGGGTATGTTGTCTGTTGTCATGGAGGTAATGTGAATTTAATAATTGTTGTAGCATTGTACCATATGTGTGATTTGCTTATTTTTGTTTTGAATATAATATAGGAATTAGATGTTCCTCTTTTTCACAGTCTTCCCACGCTCGCTGGTACGCTTCATTGTACAAATCCACCGTTAAAAATATTTTGGTAAAAAAATACACTAAACTTGGGTTACCTAATAAAAAATAAGTTGACTAAATTATAAATTGTGAAACTTAAATTATAAATTATGTAAATCATCATTTCTACATAGTTCTGCCATCTTAAACAAAGGTTACAAAGTTTCGGCATCGCATGCAATGCCAGGATCGGTGAAAACAGATGCACCTATGGATGTAATTTGGGACATATTTCGATCATGGGTAAGTCAATTCAATTAAAATTTTTAATTGAGTACCATAAATAATTTAATTTTCATTTAGATACAACTCCATCCGGTTACCATGAAAAATATTAAAGAAAATTCCCCTGCTAGGAAGATATTAGCTGTTGAACCGAGGTTGTAGAATATAATTTTTTTGATATTAATGCTTAAATGTGATATATTAAATGTTTAATCATTGGTTAACAGTTTTATTGCAGATTTTACTATCCACCCAAATGCTGAGCCAACCTCGCGCAAAATAAAGTTAGTTAGATACCAGCAAAATCCTGAAAAGTTTTGGGGACCTAAGGCTAGAGCTACTGGAAAGCGAAAAGTGTGAGTATCGTTAACTCTTATAGCTTACATTGTGAGACATTTTTGTTTCTAAATTAATGTTTAATAAAAGTAAAGATGTTGAAAATGATGAAAGCACCGAACAACTTCCATCTGCCAAAAAAAAAAACAATAATTGAAAAGTAGCACCTTAGTAACAATGACAAGAAGCTGATAAAATAAAAATCCAAGTACAGATTTTGTATTTACTGATTTCACTGTTTTATTCAAATGGTGATAATAAAGTCGATCTTGATCTCAATTTCATGGCTACATATTAGTAATACACCCCATTTAACCAAAACAGTTTAATTGAACCAAATCACTCTTGTTTAGGTTCGTTATTAACCATGCCAACTTGTACTCATTAAAATTCGTTAATGCAAAAATTTGAAATCTTCATTAAAATCTATAATACCTAATTCCGAAAAGACTACAAAAAAACCTTTAGTATAATATGATATTTTACTGTTATCTTATATTTAGAATCTATATGTTATTGAATATTCATATGACACTTAAAAAAATATTTATAAAGATCAATATGATCAATAAAGTTAAATTTTTTGAATAATTGCACTGTCAAACGTTAGATTAAATCGTATATGTACAGTTTTCTAATTTCAAGTCATGCACGTAGAATTTAGTTGAACATAAAAGTTTATTTTTTAAAAAACAACAGAATAGTTAAACCTTTTTATTAAATCTGATTATTCACTTTTTCTTATTTAAACAATATAAAAAAAAAAATTATAATCGACCAATCAAATGGATTTTTAATTATGCTTAAACATGATAAGGTTCTTAAATATTAAGAATCAATAATCAATCAATCAAAGTATAATTTTTTTTTTTTTTTAAATATTAATGTCAAAGTATAATTTTTGTAATATGCAGCATAATTATATAAATAAATTATTTGTATACGTATCTTATCATTATCATTATGAGTACAAATCAAGTTAATTGATTTATATGTTAGGTACTGAATCTTTAAATTTAAAGAAATATTAGATGATTTTTTACAATTAATTTGTTAAGAAAATAAGCATTTCTATTATAAGTATTGTATAAAAGACCCAAATCTTTTATGTTCTATCTAGTAATACAAATTAAATTTTTTTTTAACAAGTAGTTTTTTTTTTCTTTTTAGCAGCCTTGTCATTAATCTTTATTAAGATTTGTATTTACAAATTTGTATATACTTTGATCTAATTTACTAGTTTGACATTCTCTAACTGCTTTAATAAGTGCCCAAAGATGGTTTGCCATACTGGTTAGAATAATACTCAGATTTGAAGCTACATCAGACTAGTCTAAAAGATTATATAAAAATGGTCTTACTTTACTTTCTATATAATTTTTTATTAAACCAAACTATGTTTTTTTATCTTACTATTTTTTATCTCTTTTGTCTTCTTAATCTCTTTAGTGGTTTGGTTTTTTTTATTTTAATTGTATTTTTTGTTGAGTTATGCATCTTTTTATTGAATGGTTTTGTATTTTTATCTGATTTTTATTTGTTTTTTCTACTTTGATAATTAGATAATATTTATCAGTTTTTTTTATTCAATAACAACTTCATATTTTTTCTTTTATATGTTTTTATAAAAATCATTCTATGTTATATTAGTTATTATATCTAAAAATTCTTTTATTTTCTTAAGTAGTTTTGATATATTTTATATTTATTTAGTTATTTTTTCTTAAACTAGATATTTATTTTTCTATTTTTGTATCTTTTTTTTCTTATTTATTTACTCATTAAAAATTTTTTTAAGTTGTCTTTTGCTTGTAATTGTTTGTTTTAATTAAGAGTTTAGATCATATAAGATTAATCAAAAGATCTTTTATTTTTTTTAGTTGTTTTTATAATATTTGAATGTTATTAAATATTTTTTTTTTTTTTTTGCTCTTAAGCAGCCATGCTAGTACTTTATTAAGATTCTTGCAACTATATATAATAACTACATAGAATTTTTCCAATAACTAAGTCTAGCATTACCTGGCCACCTTATTGGTACCTAAGTGTGACATGTTGTACTACCTCAGTCAGAGGTAGACTGCTTATCTGGCTACTTAAAGCTGTATCAGAAAGGATTTCTTTCTTTTAGAACAAGCATTAACTGTCTTCAATTCTTTCTTTAAATTCTTTCTTCTTCTCAAAGAGCCAAAAAAAGAAAGGTATTATAAAATTAAATACAAATATGAAAATGACTAAAAAAACCAAAAGTAAATAAACAAAACCTAAATCAAAACAAAACAACAAAACAAACATGTAATAGTAAGAAAAAGAAAAAACAAAAAGAGGGCCAAAGCCCTAGTCAGAGCAAATTGTAAAAATTATATAGTACTGCTACTCCTAGTCTCTATTCTAGAAATAAGTCTATACTATTTGTAAATATCATTTGATGATAGAGATGTTGGTGTTTAATTTCTTCTCTATCAGTTCTATAGCTGACCTTTTCACTCTGATTAGAGTTACTCCTAGTTCCAAAAAAAGGATCATTTTCCTATTCCCAAAATGGCCGATTTCTGTAGATCTTTCATAGAGGGTATGCTAAATTCTCACTTCTTGTAAAAACTTCTGTCAAAAAACCAAGTAAGGAATATGGTAATAGTGTTCGATTAGCAGGTATCCTTAAATTTTTAGTGAATGTATTGAAAACTTGCTTATTGTTCTTCTATAAGGCTTACTATTTTAACTTTATTAACAGAAGTCAAAACTTTTACTAAAATTTGTTATACAAGGGTGCCTCCTGCCAGTTATCTTGTATATGCATGCTTTTAGTTTGCTTGCTAAATATATAAAGGAGTCCAGTGTAGAAGAACCACTTTGACCTTTATAAAAATTATTATTTATATAATAACCTCTTTTGCTTTTTCCAATAAGTTTTTCATTTTTGTTGATGTGAAATTTGGTACAATTTATCATCAGAGAGAGTTGTTGATATTATTAATTTAACTATATAAAATTATTAATTTTTTATATAGTATTAATCTATAGTTTTTTTTTTAATCACAATGATAACAAAAGCTGTTCAACTATAGTATGATGACTATAACTTGATATATTCTATACAAAGTATATACAAGACTTAACAAAATATAAAGTGATTTGGAATTTTAAAACAGAGACAACAATAGATAATATATGAAGATACTAAATATTACATTTAGTTTATTAACTATGAAATGTATGAAGACACTTCTTAAGTGTATAAAAACACTTATATAAAATATAAAAACACTTTTATGAAAAATAAGAACATTTGTGTAAAATATAGAAGTACTTGTATAAAGTGTAAAGACACTTAACTTTCTTAAAAAGTTAGAAAGTAATGCTTTTATAGATATTTTATATCAGAAAAGTTTTCAAAGATACTATATATTATTAATAATCTTTAGATTACTATCAATATATAGCATCCTTGAAAAATATCATTGTTAGTAATTACTAACAATATATAACCAAAATTCATTAAATTTTAAGAAAATTTAACAAATTTTATAAAAATTGTTATTAATTGATAATGATTATAATTGGTTTTTTTTCAATATTAAGGTGACCTCTTTGGTTATAGCTTTTATTAATACTTATATTGAATATATATTTTATATAGATGTATTTATAATGAACTATCAGACAAGTGTACAACTGGCTATGTATATAACTTTTCTAAATTATCTATTTAAGAAGTCTACTTAAAGGTTCTTTATCAGTTACTGTATCTAATACTCTTGTTTAGATGTTTTATTTAAACCCTCTTATCTGATCCTGATAGTAATTTCACCAGATCACAGACCCAGATCTATTCACTTTTAATCATAGAACTATAATTCTTAAACTATTTTTATTTTTAAGATAAATCTACCAGAGTGAACTGTATTTCTTTTTATTGCTAAACTGGTTTGATGCTATGGCCAAGGCCAATACTTGCAGTCAAAATTACCTCTTAAACTGCTATTACTCTTATAAACTTCATCCAAACTCTGGTATCCATCTTTCTAACTTCTTCTTTTCATTTCCTACTAGCTGCAACTTGAAACTAACTGACTTTTCAAACTTCCAATCCAAATAGCCTGATATAGTATACTTATATATTTTTTTCCTCTGGCAATTCTGGCAGCCCAGTTGATCATATGCTTTTCTATACATCTTGTCATTCAGTTTATCTGACAGTTTCTATAAAGATGTTTTATAGGCTTTCATCAGTTCAATAGTATTATCAAAAGTTTGTGCTATTTCTTTACTTAGGATTTCTAAGTAAGTTTCTGTCTTCTTAGTTTCTTAGCCTTCTATACCTAATAGTCTTATCATGAATTTGCACTGAAGCCTTATATGATACTAATTTTTCACATTCTTTTATATATATATAATATTACACTTTACATAGATGCTCCAAGTAGTAATTCAAATCATTAGTTGAAAAATCAACTAGTTGACAACTTTTCAACTAGTTGATTTGAAAATTTTTAAAAACAACTAAACAACTGAATTATTAATTAGTTCAATTATAAGACATTCTGTCTGTTCAGGCTAACTTATGCTAATTTCTTTTATTTAATTAGCTAATTAACAAATTTAGTCACATGATATAAAAGTTAATTAGTTGCAACTATAGTTGGCAACTAGTTGATTGGCAAAATTTTTACTAACTTGAAACACTAGCTTCAAGCTTCCAATGTCAGATAGGTCCTAACTTGGTGTATCTAAGATTACAGATATCCAAAACTTAACTGATTAGCAAAAAACAGTTAACATAATACAGATATAATTTTCAAAATTTGTTGTCTATAGGAATTGAACCTTAAACCTGCCACTTGAGAATTGACAACCTATTCATTTTACTAGATCACTATATTTTTAATTATAATTGTTTATAATCATATATTAATAATCATTATATATTGATAATAATATATATTGATATATAGCAACTAATCGATATATATCAATTATTTTTAATCTATATATATCAATTAAATGCTATATATCAATACAAATCTGCTTAAAAATTTTCCTGATATATATGTATAAATTATTATAATAAAGACTACTCTATTGCTAATAAATGCTATATATAGTAATACTAGGATATATAAGAACTAATAGATATAATAGATATAATATATATAT